AATTTTGTTTTGACTTTTTTTTCTTTTCCATAGTTGTCGGTTTATGATTAGCCATAAATAAAAAATGAAAATAAAATAACAAGTTCACAGCTTCTCAGCAGGTCTGAATGTTCACTGTCACCTTCTCTCCAACCATTCGTCTGTCACACAGGTTGTTTTTTTTTTTTACATTTAATTAACATTTTGAATCAAGTAGTCATTTTTCAGCAGAGCGTTGTCAGCTGTCAATAACTACTGAGTCAGGAAAATAATAAATATACTCGTCTGACCGGTAGGATGTGCAAGATGGTACAACATGCCATACAAATTGATTAACCGTCCTGCTGATGCCTGACAACACAGACTGTTCACTTACAGACTGTAAGTGTAATGAGATCAAGAAGGTTTCCCCTGAACTCCATGAATCTCTGAAAAACATCGCACCTGAAAAGGCAACGCGTGTTTTATTTTTCTTTACGCACAGACCTCAGCGGGCGAGGTGTAAATAAGACTCAAGGTTAATAGTCTAGAAACATCTGTGGTGTCAAGTGGAGCCAATCTGATGCAAGATCGCTCTTCCACTTACAGGCAGAGACACACGGAGCAAATATTTGGAATTAAACGTTTTGTTGGCGTTAAAGGTGAAGTATGGTTTCGGTTTTAATTTCACAAACTACCGAAGAATAATTCTACTAATTCTACTAGTGAAAAGTTGAACCTCTCTAACACGATGATGAAAGTCCCGATTTGAACTAGGTTCAGGTTCAGTTGTAATTGGCCGCCGAGCCAGTCTGTCAAGCCGAACTGAACTCTGAAGTTCTCACCGTGTGATGCTTAGAAAGTTGCTGAGGTCAGAGACCTTAAAATAAAATTTGTTCGACACCTCGTGATCCAATGTTCCTGTGGTGTTAGATTAGTGCTAGAAACACCATTTGAAGCTGCCCATGACGTGTTGAGACAAGAACAGATGAGACCCAGCAAGAGGGGCCACAGGAGTCAGTGGTAGTGCCTTAATAAACTCCCATCTGTTGTCCCAGACTCTGGTCCTGGAGTCCACCTTGTTAAAACGTCCACCTGAGCCCAGCGAAGAGCTGTCGTAGAGACTTAACCCGGGATCGTTCAGCATTTTATCACAGTACCATGGCGTGATACATTTGGGCATGAGTTTTTAAACAGGGCTGGTGGTTTATTAGCTACATGCTACATTAGCTTTAGAGCCATTTTTAAATGAGTTCACATTTAAAAACCACAGAGTGAATGTATAATGCAATAGTTAATGTTCCAATGGGCTTTTTTTATCCAGGTAATAAAAATGAATTTAAATCAATGTAATGCAACATGGTCGGACAGAATAAGATATCTTTCTTTGTCCTTGTTAGTTCATGTCCTCAATTATACCACATGAATTGTTTTTTCTTCTTCTTTTTGCTGACTAATTGCTTGAACAGGTTAACAATAGGGTTTTTTTTTCCCTACTACAATGAACTGTTCTTCAACAATTCCCCTGAAGGTCACAGTGGTTTGAAGAACTACAGGAATGTTTTTATACCACATACAGACGAGGTCTGTACCCAGTAACCATAGAGAGAGTCTGAACGGCTGATTCTTTCTTCCAACAAAGCTTTATGAAAAAAAAAGAAGTTCCCTGTATGTCAGACTGATGGACTCACCTTGAGTAGGAACAAGTTTTTTTTTTTTTTTTTGGGGGGGGGGGGTTATTCTTGTGGTTTAATCAAACCTCCATATACCTTTATTTAAATTAATTAAAGGTAAAACAATGAAGTATTTCCTTTGTTGTCCTGTGATTGTTAACCCAGCTTTTTACCCCAAACACAGGAAATCTGTCTTTAACAAAACTACAACACAGAGCTGTGGTTAGTACAGCACAGTCAGTTCCCTCACTAAGGCCAAATAATCCCACACACTTTTCTACTTGGCTCTAGATAGAAAAGTATTAAGTAAAACAAAAAACACTGTCAGGATAACCCGTGTTAAACTTTTAGTAAACTTATTAAAAAACAACAAAAATATATCTCTATATGCAAAACAAAAAAAGGTAATCTGGATCACTAGCAAAAATTAGTTGTTTGGATCTTTAAATCTGAATCAGACTGTAACCACGGGTGTCACGGTGTCACAGGAAGCAGCTAATTAGGGTCAAACCCCTAAACACCACCTTGTGATTACAAAGAAGATGACATAAGAGGATCACAGCAGATTTAATTAAGAGTGCTGAATAACCTGACGACTTGTTATGTTTCTCTCCACTGTTGTGATCCATACATTTCTGCAGAGAATAAAATAAAAAAAAGAATCCTTCTGATCTTCTTTGAGGAAGGAGCGGGTGATGCAACAGAAATATCCATAATTGCCTGCATATCAAAGTGCCTCTAATGCACCTGCCTCATAGAATAACCTGTGATGTGTCGTACTCTTTGAAACGAGCCCTCCTTTCTTCCCCATTTGGAACATTTGAAATAAAAATAAATGGGTTTGTGACAAAAGACCTGCTGAAGAGTTTACTCCAACTGAGCTGCTGCCCTGAAACTGACAGAGCGTTTTCAAACAGGGATTAAAAACACAATTTTCATTTTAATAAAACAGGTGCTTATTGGAGAACATTGGACTCATGAGAACAATGCAGAAAAAAATGTTTAATATTTTTTCACAGTCATTACAGCAAGACGTTATCTGTAACGGCTGCCTTTAGAGCATACATGGGCAAACTAAGGCCCGGGGGCCTGATGCAACCCATTCAGTTTCTTAATCCGGCCTGCCAAACATTTCCAAATTGTATAATTTATTTATATTATCATTATACCTCTGCCTTTTCCCTGCAATCCCTACATTTCCCCAATAGATGGCATAGAAAAATGATAAAAGCATTTTAGCGTTTTGGCCTTTATGAATGACTTTTACATGTCATTTATCTGAGTTTACATAAATACTCCATCTATCTGCTCCTGACTCGGCCCCCCTGTTCAATTTTGGGACAATTGTGGCCCACTAGAGTGTGAACATTACAAAAAGTAAATATGCGAGAGAATTTATTTTGCAGAACTATTATATATACGTGTATATGTATATATATAAATACATATATATGAATGCATTATCTTTTTAAATGAACGTATGTACTCAAAACTCAAAAATCCCAGGTATTACAATACAATGGCTGAAGTAGAGCAGTACATCAATGAATATTAGTGAAGTTCGTACTCTAAGGCTAAGCTGAAATGCAATTTTCTGATATCTGCTGGTACCCAGAGTAGTCGTAGTAATATATCACAAAGCTGAGAGCTCAACCAGTGACAGATAATCATGAACCATTTGTTGCATGAACCTGTCTGACTTTATTCCATACACTGTTGGTAATAAGGAGGGAATCACTTCTCATGACGTGACAGTGGATTCCTCCACCGCTGTCAAACATTAAAAGCAAAAAAAAAAACAGTCCTCAGGAAAGAGAATATTCTCACAGTTTTCAGCAGAAAGACTGAGAGAGGATGTGGTGGTTACCATAGCAATTGTTCACACTGTCACATGGTTACCTAGAAACTAGTGCTGTGATGCTGTTCATTTTATCTTTATTTTTCTGTTTGGCAGGTTTCCAACTGTCGGTGACAAAGAACAATGCGGTTCTTTTCCATTTTACCATTGAGTGTGAAATTTTAAAGGTGACATTTGCCCGGAGCTGTGATAGGTTAAGGACGGTGCTCCCTGTGTTTGACATTGATTGTCTGAGCAAGTACCATGATTTCTTACACGTACCAAAGACTGGGTAACATGCAGGTCAGTGGGAACCACACACAGGCAGCCAGGCAGCAGCAGCTATTACACTCCATTTGGTGCAGCTGAGTAATGTTCAGTGAATGGGAATAATGGATAGGGAATCCAAGTGCCTCACGGAGTATTTCAGGTGAATGCAGCATGAATCAATGTTGAAAGCATTCATTTCTTTTCTTCTTTTTTTTCTTTCAGATCGAGACAAACAATTGCTTCATTTGTTTGAAAACCTGATAATTTTGTATCGACAGTGAGATTACCCGGGTTGAAGATCGATAAACCACAAGTACATCGCATAACAATTATCCTAAAACCCCTGTCCTGACACATCAAATGATTTTACTATCAAGGAAAAACACACGAAGCAAGGAGTTGAATCTATAAGGTCAAAATGTAGTACTCCGCAGTACACATAAAAAACAAAAGATGTGATAAATGTTGATTAAATTAAATTAAATTTGCCTCTTTTAAATCCAGCGTGTTGTAAAATCAAGGACGATCAAGGTTCTAAAAGCATATACTGTACGTGTCACAGGTAACTGTCAGATACAATGGTAGAAGTTTCTTTGTATTTGTTAATTCTCCCCAAACTGCTATAGTTAATATATTTGTTATGGTTGTCTGTGTTCCCTTTTCCTATCTTCTCTGCTGGTGGGAGTTAGTGTCATGACACTCAACTGTGTCTCTGCCATTAGTCTCACTGGTATCACCTGGTGCCCTTGTATATATACCTCTCTCCCTCACTCTGTCCTTGTTGGATCAATGTGCTGTTGTATTCTGTGTTCCTAGTTGGTCATGTTTCGAAGAAGTCCGTGCCGTGTAGTGTTTACCTTTTCCTGTTTTGTTAATTTGCACTTTGTTAATAAACGTGCTACACTTGAAGAAAATCTCCCTGGTATCGCATTTGGGTCCTGCCTGCTTCCATGATGTCCACACGTAACAACATTTCCATTGCGATATCTGGTGTCAGGACGCCCCCTCCTGTCCTAACACGTTTCCTGCACTATTACCAAAAAGGAAATCATCTAAAGCCGTGAAGAGGTGAATATATCTTCTTTTTTTAGTATGAGTGAGTGATTAAAATACGTAATCACAATAATGTGTTTGCCCTCAGTCAACCACGTGAAAAATAACAAGAAGTTCATCAGCAACGCTGATTTCACTCCTCCACGTTTCAGTCAATGACTTCTACTACACCAGATATCCATCTTATTTATTTTTAACAGAGTGATCAGTTTCCTTAGAAACCGTCAAAAATTGCCGTTGCCGACTCAGTGAGTCGTCAAGGCGGGGTATTGGGTAAAGTTTTCAACTAGCAATAATCGCGCCTCGGATAAACCTCATAGGCTACGATACTGCCACTGCGCAAAGCTAACGTCATGACGCCGCCGTCGAGGTGGTGACTGTCCTGTACGTATAGTTGTGTCATGGTTTTCACCGTATTCTGTTTTCACTCGGCTGATGTTTGGGTGTTGGGTTGCATTCTACGAATTAAGACAACACAGCGGAGAGCCAATGACACATTTTCAGTCTGTTTATGTATAGAGTATGTCCAAGATGACAATGCTTGCAGACTTTGAACATTGCTCGAAAAAATGTTTATCACTTGTATGTATTTCCAGTCTGCAGTATTCTAAACAGCTAATTTCAGTTGTGACAGATTTTATACGTATACAATATGCAAAACGCTGTAATGAATTGTTAAAAAGACACACTTTTGACTATTACGGGTTTTTATTTACATTGTTTAAACCCGGAAATTACGTGTATGTCAGCTGCCCCTGGTTTCCTGGACACGGATATCAGCCGCGTCTCTTTCAAAAGCCAATGTTTTTTAATCGATCGATTAATATCCCCGTGTAAATTAAAATTGTTATAATGAACAAATAATAGTGTATTAAGATATAGTTTAAAAGCGTCCATTCTCAAGCGTCGGGTATACATTCCATGCTTTTGTTCTTGTGCTGTGCTGAATCGGATATTACGTAGTACCTCGTCCGTCAGTGTGCTCGTCCAACTACACTGAAATCACTTTTGTCCAGAGTTCGATTTTACTATCAAGGAAAAACACACGAAGCAAGGAGTTGAATCTATAAGGTCAAAATGTAGTACTCCGCAGTAACATGGACAGCGACGTAATAGATACGGATAGACATCGCTCCTATTTACATAACTGTATGTATGTTGTAAAAAAAAATCACGTTAATGTGATGTGCGCAGTCTTATACATTACGATGCAGTCATGATTAACACTAATAAATTTGGAAAGATCTGCATACTTATCGTTAAACAAGTAAATCATTATTGTGATGTGAGCACCTTGCACCGGAAATGACGTAATTTACTAACGTTTACTGCTGATCCTTCCTACTTGTATTTTTATAGTATTATATTTGACAAAGAGATCAGTCTCCGTAGAGACCGTCAAAAATTGCCATTGCCGACTCAGAGAGTCGTCAAGGCGGGGTATTGGGTAAAGTTTTCAACTAGCAATAATCGCGCCTCGGATAAACCTCATAGGCTACGATACTGCCACTGCGCAAAGCTGACTCTGTAACGGCCGAACAGCGGTTGTCTATCTAGCCTATATAGATTTCAGTCACGGTGCAACGTCTACATCAGAACACAATGTACGCTGAATACTTCAAAACATTAACCACTCAAAATCCAAAAATAACATTGACTGGTTGGCATTATATCTTATATTTAGTTCGTTTTATACTTCACATAGCGCAATGCATGATGGGATCGACCCGTGTGACGTCACTCTCCACACGCCGTTTTCTCATTCGTGAAAAAGAATATAATTTATTCGTCACGCGTAGGATTTCTTTTTCGAAAAATATTTACGTTGTAATACTGATTAGTTTTCATGTGCACAAATTTAAATTGTTGCGTTATTCTTGTCGTGATCGCAAAACGCCACCAGAGGGTAGCACTAGCAGCTCTAAACCTGTTCCACTGGCCAAAGGAAAAATGGCGACTTTAAAAACAACCCAACAACGATTTAATTTATTTTACTCTTTCCACGAGTAAAACACAGTCAAGTCAAGGTTAGATTTGCATACGATTTTTTGCGTTATTTAAACAGATGTAAGTACAACCACTTCTTTACACTACTAGATCTAATATAATTGAAACAGTGTTATTTAACCGACTTAACCGTTCTTACATTCAGTAGTTCAAAAACGTTTAACTTTTAAAAGAAAATGTTTTCCCTTTTAATGTACAAAATAACCTGCATCTAAGCAAATTCTTCATTTTTGAAGAAATAATCACCTTTTAGAGAAACACTACTGCATGCGTTTTTGGTACAGAATGGAAAAAAGCCTTTAATGTTCATATGCTTGCACACCATATGGCATGCATTACTATAGTATTCTGTGTGAATATTAGACTTTTTTTTAAGCAGTAGTGGTATAATGTCAGTGCTCCAGCAGACTGAGTGGTGCTCCGGGTGTAAAGACCTGTCCTGGCTGACACATTAAACAGGGATTTGCTCCCGTCAGAGTGTCAAGCCAATGAGTCTCAAAGACAGGAGCTTGGATCACTGTCAGGGACAGGTAAGTATGCAGATAAGGGGATTACACCATGTTTGTGCTAACTAATCTGTAATGAATTCTGCCAGCTACTGTTTCATCCACACCTAAGGAGGACAAAGCTCTCTTTGTTCAACCCAAGAAGCACCAAGGACAGAGTTTATTTCATATAACTATTCTTCCAACTTGGCTTCTACAGTAAGGGACATAGGAACACAGTGAGGTTAAACACAATGGCATTTAAATAAACCAATTTGAGCTGTTTGGTCAGCAGACCTTAGGCAGACCTTAGGCAGACCATTGCATAATCTGGGCTGCATCACATCAGAAATGTTACAGGCATAAGGATGGTTCAACTTTGAGTTGGGAAACCTGCACAGTGTGGGATGAGATGAGGGAACTGTGATTAGATGGTGTTATGTAATGGAATAATTATGAAGGACATCAGATAAACGATGACAAATGTCTTTCCTAGGGCGATTGGGTTTGTCCTTTCCCCTGTCGAGCCATAGACACAGTGATTTATTCTGAATCTTATTTAAACAAATCGGGACCACACAGCAATCTGTGTACATAACATGTCCCACCAAGAACTTGCAGCTCTGAATTTTCAATCTTTAGATTATTCCTTTCTCGGACAAACGGATGCTTGCAGAATGTTAACACCAGCCCACTCCCTCCTGCCAGAACCGCCACTGCCAGAGCTAGTCAGTGTGGCATCATAAGACTGTCTGTCCGTTATATGCTAAAACTGCAGAAGCTCATCCATATATCCATCTATCTATCATCTAATATATAGGTATATAATATAGGTCCAATGTGGCATTTCACTTTCTGTTTCTTTCACTTTCGCTTTCACTTCAACACTTCATTACTTCACAGGTCACTTCATCTACTCTTAAAATAAATGCAGCAATTAAACAATTATTCTGCTCTGGGTGAGATCGACCAGTGTAAGTAATGCACCAAATGGGGTATGAGTAACAAAGCCTAATCTGCTAAAGACGTATCTCTGAAAGAGATATAAATACATCAATTAGGATCATGTGAAGTGAAGGAGAAAACAAGCCAACTAGCTTCCAAGGTTTTATCTCACTTAATTTGATCCGTATATCATATCTGTTGAACCCAAAGCATTGGATTCCAGTTATTTTTAATGCAATACATATGACTTTGCAGAAGTGTGTTTATTGTTAATTTATTATATGTTTATTTTAAGCATCAAATAGATGTGAATAATCTTGAGCAACCTGTAGAGGGCAGTGTAACCACATAACAACAGACTCTGAACTATGAACCTTGAATTTGATAGGTCCACGATGGACGAGCTTCACCATAAATACGGTTGTGTTGTATGTTAACACTCAAACATCCTAGACCGGCTGAAAGGCACCACATGATGAATGGCTGTGTTTGACAGCAGCATGATAACAGATCATCACAATTCAAGCGACATAAAGATGAGCTGCAGGAAGGTAAAGGCACATTGATCAAAATGTCACCGCAGTCGGACTATCTCGCCAGACAATGTGAACTTCTATTCCCCTTTCGTGAATTTAGAGAGCTGGGCTTGGCCTGCTCTGTCTGCTGGCATCCTCCAGTCCACCATACTCCAGGATTTAGCAGCATCATTACTCTTCAGACAACAGGTTTGGACATATTGAACTCAGACCCAAAACACTCTGGCTCTAGCCTGCGATTCCCACTCTCCTCGCTCTGTTTGTGATCAGGGACTGTTTGTCTCTCCTGTTCTATTGCTAGATGTCTGTTTGCTTGACACTTGTCTGGCCTGGCCTACTTTCTCCTTGATCTCATCAGTCAATGTGAAGACCTGTGAAGGCCATCTCCCAATCTTCCTTTGAGAATCCCTGCCAGTCCTGCGCCTGTGTCAGCAGTTAGAGACTGACTCACTCCCACACTGTCTCCAGTCTTCGCTCCAGGGCCCACTGGGCAACAGCAGCACATCTCCCAAAACAGACAGTCTCATTTGCATGCCCATAAATCACTAAAAAAAGGACTGACACTCTGCCACACAACAAGCCACAACTCACAGTCATAAAGTTAGGCTTCAAAAATTGCAGTGTTATCCGATACTTGGTTTTTTTAAGAGAAACTCGGCATAAAATGCTGAGCCATCCCAGATGGTGAAACAGCCAATCGAAATGGAATACCTAGACAGATATGGCCAATATTTATAAGAACAGAAACTAAATGTTCAGTTGTTACTATTGAACATAAACAAACAAATAAGGTCATAACGTGTGACCTTAACGTGATCAACAATGATAAAAACATGGGACTCCTTCTGGATGTAAACAAAATAGTTTTCTTTGTTTCTTCTTGGTACAATGCAAGTGCCTGTGACTGCCTGGACAGTGAGGTCATGTCCAGTGTATTGTTTGTGGGAAGGTGTGACTAAAGACTCGCGACTCGGGTAGGAATTTATAGTCTTAAATACCACAGCTGGATATGATTCATCATGAGATCTGCTGATGACATGTGGGAATGAGACATGAGCAGCTTTGTTTTACAACAAAACAAGATATTTTAATGCTGGTAGTTGAGCTCAATATGATGGGAAAGGAATCTGGATGTACAACTTCAGCATTTTTTGGCTTTGCTTCAATCGGTCATAGGAAAAGAGGTCATTTTACCAGCAAAGCCAAAAAATATATAAATAAATAAATTAAAAATAATTTGTGTTCATATAAAGTTTTGCAAGCTACAATCTCAAGGTGCTCTTTGCTTCTTGTGGTGCATGTGTGGGCACAGTGTCAAACTGGGACATTTTGGATTACTTTGGTGACAAGTGTCTTATGCAACCAGCAGGATTTTGCAAGTAAACCCTGATTGACTATACACTATACCAGCCACTGCTTTTAATATCACATTGTCTGTATATCCATGTGACTCTTAGTGTACTATGTGAATGCATTGTTGTTGTTGAGCTGCAGCAATTAAGGAGAGTCGGCAAACACGTGCCGTCTCAGAGGACAGTTGTGCTAACATTAGAGTCAAACACAGGTCTGTGTTCATGTTAACAGCTACTTTATTTGTTTCCCAATTTATTCAATTTCCTGTTTGCATCGGTATTTACTGGAGTCTTGCACAAAACATCTTCTGAATATTGACAATGTGACGTTTACAAACACCGTGTTCTACTGTTCGTCATTGAAGAAAGTCCATTTGTTGGTGACATTTTGATTAGAGTGGAGCACAGAACTTTCAAAAAAAAATCTGAGTCTTTTCACTGTCTGTTCTATTCTATTTATTATCTTATTTATTTGAAGATCTCCTCACAACTTTATACTCCACAGTATGGTATGACAGTATGATATAACGGTACATATAATGTACAGCGGGTTGGACGGGAACATGTCGACATGTAAAGCCCTCTGACTGCCCCTTCAATCCACTGCGTCCGTTCCACACTGTGCGCACCACTGCTGCCACACCGCTCCTCCATCACCGCCCTCGGGAAACACATTTCGGTGCGTGGTCGGAACCACAACACAACTTCTCGACTCTTCCTGTGCTGCTCCCGGCTTGTTGTCTCCACACCGCGGCTGTGAGAGTGCAGTGGGAGGGGAATACTCCCTCTCGGGTTGCGCTCCAGTCTGCTCTCCTTCTGTGCTCCTCCCGCCGTGGCCCCGCTTCCTTCTCAGTACAACCCCCTGGAATTTGATGACAGTCAGTCAGAGCCGACGCTCGAACGGATCTCACAGGTGTGTCCCTCCCTGCCCACTGATCCACGGCTCCTGGAAACGCACACACCTGGAGCACACCATGTGACTCGGCACCTGGGCGTGGAGCAAAGATACCAAGAAAGCCAGTCTTTTGTTGAGCGCTTGTCCGCGCCGCGTCTCACCAGGAATTGACTGTTGGGATCGTTTGTTAAAGGAATAGTGCCTTTCCCGTAAACAGCTACAGGACCTGTTGGGAGAAGTGATACGTGATCCTACTTTCGGACATACTTCACAATTTTTATTTAAATACGTTTGACGGGAGCTGATCTTCAGGACCTGAATGTTCGCTTTTAATATCCTTGCACATTTTTTCTAATAAGGTAAGTTCCATTAATGCTGAAAGTGTCATGTACTATGATGATAAACAAAAGAAAACTACGGTAAACCCGAACAGCAAGTTTGTGGAGCCTGGTGTGGAATTCTCCTTCATGGATATAGCCCGTGGTGTGGGAGTGGAACTCCGCTACTCATCCTCCCCTGCCTCATAGCACTGTTTACTAATTATTTCTCATTTTAATACCGGAGGTGTTGCTGTTGTGTCCATTTCCCACAGACGCGCAACAAAAACGCAACATCTATGCACATAGCAGCTGTGAGCGAAGTGTTATCATAAAACTTGTAGATTATTAATATGGCAGTGACGGAGTCTATGGTTGAAATATGTCATAGTCCTACATGAGTGTAAACTTGCCCTTCAGTTAAGCTCAGACACTCCCTTCTCCAGAGCGGCATCGCAGCCTCAGGATTTGCTGTCTGTCCCCTCACACAGGCAATTTCAGTGAGGGATGGCGGTGTGAACTGTGTTCCTCACCTCTGGACACTGGGCTGTACATCAGCAGCTGGGGAGACAGAAGTAGTAGTGAGCTTTGCTTCCTGTTTGTTTTACTTTCCCCCCCATTGCCTCTGCTGTCCTGTCTCTTCTTCGGAGAACAAGGAGACAGAAGCACTATTCATGCCCCTCTTGAATCTCCTGTGCAGTTCTGTCAGTCTGTATCTCTTGGTCCCTGGCGCAGCCTTCAACTGACCACTGTAATGCCTTTTTTGTGTCCCTGAATCATCCTTTTATGTGCTGACCATGTCATCTCCTGCCCACTTGTTCACAGACTTGCTGTATTTAGGATGCTCTGTCTCCAAGGGATTATTCCCAGAAAATTACAAATTGCAGTGTCAGGGTGAGGCTGGATTAAGAGGCAAGAGAGGCTACTGCCAGTGATAGCAACAGTGGCTGGAAGTAGGGGTCAGAACAGGGGGTCATCCGCTAGTCTCCTCACTGAGCAGGGATGGTTTTTTAGTAGATGCCATCTGCTCACACGAACACATGGGCAATTATCAACCAAGCTGCTCCCCGAGCGTTTCCCTCTTTCCAACACCCCTCTCTTTCTTCTTCTCTTCCACACTCTCCATGCCCCACAATGCTTCATTCAAGGTTTATCTCTTCCACTCTGAATAAATAGGGACACCTTATCAGCCCACAGGAGAGGGGTGATAAATGTTTTTCCTCTGTTCTCTGCAACTGTTTCAGAGACAAAGATGCCAAACTTCAAGATGTTTGTTCAGGACATGTAAAGGGAATAGGGAACATTATAGATTTAAGTCCTCCATGAAGATGTTGAATACTTTTATAACACGTTAACCTAAGGAAGAATGCAAATGCCATGCAAAAGAATAACAAACACAGCATACATGTACATAATAAACTGTTATCCTTTATAGTTATAGGCCACAGGAAAAGAAAAAAAAACCTGTGGCGAGAGCTACTATGAGTATTTTTGGATTCAGTAAAATAGCCTGTGACCAACTCAGAAAAATGAGAGAGTGAGTTATTGGCCAGTGAGCTCTCAGCTGTGAAGCTCCTGCATGTTTTGGGTAAGCCAGAGTTCATCCCATCCTTTTTTTAGTGTCACACATTTTCTAGAATAGCTTCAAACCATGTCATCTAATGGAAGCGTGCACTCCATTTCAGAGTAGTGCAATATTTTTGAGGTCAAAAACGGATTTGAATCCATCCCCCTCTGTTATTTCCTTTTCAGTGAATTACTGACTTCTGTCATTTTCATTTTGAAAATAAAACCATAATCCTCATGAGCAACAACAATCCTGCGCCTCCTGTCTACAGCCTACGACAGATGAATAGTGCATGTGCCACTGGTTCATTTCAAGTGACTTACTTTATCCTCTCTTTCACTTTTATTTTATTTTTCAATGGAATTGTCTTGTCTTTATATGTCAGGCCTATTTTCACTTTGAAAACTGGGACAATTACTTATTCACTCACAGCACTGCTCTCCAGCATGGACATGTTAAACTTGATGACCACATAAAGGTGTGTGGCGCATGGGAAAGGCCATTTGCTTATCTTGGTTAGACGTAATCTCACGGACAATAGTCCCACACATTAAGGGTGTGTCAGCTAGATATTTGTCCAATCTGGTTTTTTTTTTTGTCCTGATTTTTATATTTTATTTTATATTTTATATCTATCTTCAGTGGTTTACTGCTGCCTCCTGTGACATTGGACTTTATGACCTTGGCCTGGACTGTTCCCTTTTCTTTTTTTTTTTTACCTTTGCCTTTTTATTTGTCACCCTCACAGTGTTGCTCTAATGCGTTGTTTGCACTTCACACAGCAAACACTTGTCACCTGTACCACTCAACACTCTTCCTTCTCCTTTTCACCAGAGATAACAAAGCTAATGTATAACAGACAGACCCATGAGGTGTTATCATGCTAATTTTCATCCCCGCCCCCCACTGGCAGGATATGCCATGAGTCTCGGGACAGAAGATACCAGCCTTTCACTGTCTCCTTCTTGGCATCAGCCAACCATAACAGCTTTTTGTTCACCATTCTTCACGTTTTAACCTGTGCTGTCTGCATGTCTCCATACCTTATATTGAGACATTGTGGTCAAATGTATCTCAGGACTTAATGGTATCGTGGCTTTCAATCCATGTTCATTTCAGACCACATTGCAATTGGACTTACTTTCTTTTTCAGGCTGCTGCTGTAGACTCTTTCACCCTTCTCTCCACCTTTAACTATCGTTAAACACTTGCATTCTTCAAGCTTGAGTAAGAGGAACACGATGAATATTGTAAACATGCCCCCACCCCAAAAGGCATAAATGATTCACGTGGTAGGAGATCTGCCTTAATTGCTCAGTTGATAAGTTATGGGCAGGGTGTTATGTATTAGAACTGAGGCATCCCCATATTAAAAACCTGGTCGAGGCAGATTGTTGATGTGATGCACAGGGATTAGTGATGTCCGTATCCCAGAGGAAAACATGATGGCCAGTACTGTTACAGAGGGATTTGGGCAACAACAGTGGTGTTGGCTGTCATTAGCCTTGAGGGTGGCATAGCTAAGGACTGAACACCGGTGATGGATACACAATACAGACACGGCCCCGTTCTCCCTTCCCTCACCTACTTTTCCATGGCAGCGGAACTGACAGACTGACACAGACACAAATATCACCAAGGCTTTTGATGCTATCTGATCACTGTCAACAAGACCTACTTCTTCAGAAAAAACTCTTATCCAGATGTGATTTTCCTAACCCTAACCCTGATGCCATACTAGTATTTGGAAATTTCTCAGCACCGATGGTTCTACTTAGAGGTCACCTTCATCCCACCTTAAGAAACCAGGTTCAGATTTCTTCATAAGTCTCCTTTTGGCAGGAGAATAGAGCAGAGAACACGTTCTGTTTTTTGCTTTGGTAATTTTGTCTGGCACATACTTCTGTCAGAATTGTGTTTATTTAAGCCCACAAATTGGTCAAGCCTGCTTCAATCAGTGTAATATTTGATGTTAAGTCTTGTTTCATGATAAAAGACATGCTGGCAATCTCTCGTACACACAAAGAGGTGCCTATTTTTTTATTAAGTAAAGGTAATTTGGCAGTGGTTTAGGTATTTAGCGTTTTTGATTTAGAAATGTTTTATGCTGTTCAAAAAGAATATCTGTAGTTCTCTAACTTCTCACAGGCCTCAGTGTTTTCCACTGGAAAATGGGAAGTGGACCAGGAGTAGAAAAAGTGACATTTTTGTGGCACACACAATGATGTGAATGGGATTGATTTGGAATGCAGACAAGAGACAGACAGGTACATTAAGGCCAGTGCATTAAGGAAATGTCTTCTGGGAATGAAGTAACAGCAGAATAAAATATCCCTTCACTACGCAGCAGGTTCGGTGACAAATCTGTGAAGCAGTTTATTCATTGAAGCCCAACTCCAGGCAGAAGATATCAATCCTCAACTTGCAAGCAAGGACTTTTACAGACCATGCAGCGACTCTGTGGGTGGTAGTGGTTCAAGGAGGTTTTTGAAACTTTACCAGTTTGTTTTCAGTCATTACAAGGGAATAATATAATGGTTTTTGTCTGGACATGATTATTTTGGTTACTATTTTATATTTGGAACAAAGCAAGAAGAAAGCCCTGGCTTTTACTGCAGCAGATCAGAATATTACATTATCTTAGCAAAATAAACAAATTGACACCTGTAATGCTTTAGCACCAACATAAGCAAACCAACTACAAGTATGTGTGTACACACCCTTATTCAATGTTGAGTGACATGTAGTCCCAGCCTGGAAACCACAGGGGATATTTCATTTTTATCATTGTGAGTAAATTTACAGTTAAACCCCAAGCTGACCTATTTCCTCTTGCCAAGATCGTTTTTAATTATCACCTCTACAGTTAGTTTGACATCTCCTAAGTTGACTTTAATTGGGTATTTTCCATGACACACTAGCCCTTCTTTTTTCCCCACTTACACTGGGTGATTAATTATCAAATAGTAAAAGTGAGCCAGGCCAGCTGAGAGGTAGATGCCTGAAGAGTCTGTTCATGGGCAGCAGCTGGAGCTGAAGGTCACAAAAACCTGAAGGCAGAAAAGTTGAAGATGACTCATTAATCCAGACACGGGCAAACTAAGGCCCGGGGGCCTGATGCGGCCCGTTCAGCTTTTTAATCCGGAACGCCAATCTTTTCCAAATTATCATTATACTTCTGCCTTGTCTCTGTAATACCCATGTTTCCACAATAGATGGTGTAGAAAAAGATTTTTAGCATTTTAGCCTTTATGCATGATTTTTACGTCATTTATCTTAGTTTACATGAACGCTCCATCTATCTGCCCCTCACTGGCCCCCTTGTTAAATTTTAGCATAACTGTGGCTCGCAAGTCAAAATGTTTGCCCACATTTGTCTGCGTTAACCCTTTTAATGCACATTACTGTGTGCTTTGAGTGTGCTTGAGAGTTGCTGTGAGTCAACATGTTCTCCACAATGATGAAGATGCTTCTGATGACGTAGAGGACTTGCTTGTGTCTTCTGAAGAGAACTCAGACCCAGTCACTGCCGGAGAAGAACCTGAAGACAGACATACCACCTATCATGAAGCCGTCCACGTCACGGACAATTCATAGCTCTGAACTTCAATTTGATGGCAACATAACCAAGCATGAAGAAAAAGCAGTGATTGGCTGATTATATGAAGGAAATTATTGTTACTATGTGCAGTCATTTCATTCAAAATCCTTCTTTGAAAAAAGGTAATTTTTGACCCACATGTGTAAACTGGATGAAATAGTGCAAAATCTAGTTTTGTTAATAAAATACAAAAAAAGAGAGATGTAAATCGTGGTCTGTATCAATCAATCAAGTTGATGTAAGAATAGTATTTGTTGATATATTCCCATGCAGGAATATTGTTAAAAAGGAAACAGAAGACAGGAGACAATATGTTTTATGTTATGTCATATTTTATTGTGACAGTACAATGAATAACATTTGGAATTGCTAGTATAAAAATGGTTGGCAGAACATGGTCAAAAATAACTTTAGCAATACCAATATTCGGGGAACCATATGCTGTCCCTATTATCACTGGCATCTGCTGCACTTTACTGGCAGCTGGAAGTGGACATGGCGTTGGCAGCACTGCTGGAGGCTGGGTGTATGTCTCTTTGGTTGTCTCTTTCAATCTTGAATCAAACTAAGAGAATTTGTGATGGTGAAAAAATGTGCTCGTCACTTAAGAAAAAACCTATTACTGACTATGGTGTGTTTTAAATTACATCTAAAATTGATAAATGGAATGATGTGGATGAAAGTGTTAGCAGTGTAAATGGGCGGCTTGGGTGTTGTAATAGTCTAAATTCAGATTTTGATAATAAAATATCCCCCCCCCACCCCAGTTTAACAGGCCCCTATAAGATTACAGGGAAATCCTATTATAAAAATGAAATATTTTATTTGTCATCATCATGTCCTTGTCCCAGTTAAATTAGGAGGCTGTCATGGCCTTTCAGCGGCCTATGATCCAGAAGGGACCTATTAAAATGTGTCCTTACCGCGATTGTTAAAGTCACCGAGGATCTAGTTAAATGCCACAGACCCTGTTGATATCATCTGTACATTGACTGACTGTTATGCTCAGGTCGTAGACTTTGTAGCAGTAGTAACACTGCCAAAAATACAACCTTGGTGGGCGATATTTGGAAGCATGGCCTTTGAAGTGTGAGGTGGGACTTTCTGAATCATTTTTAGAAGATAAGTTTTGTAAAAGTGTGTAAAACAGTGTGTGGCAACAGTTTCAAATTAGCAGGGCATCACAGAGTATAAGGAAGAGGAACTGATATCAAAAGACAAAATTGGCATGGGAGATTGTGACGGTAATTGGAATTTAATTTAGTCTGGTGCTGAGCCCTATGTTGTTGTTCTTTTATCAACAAAGCTGACTCATGAAGACCTGAAGCATGACTCAGTGTAACTTTACCTTGTTATTGCCCTTTTTGAGTTGGAATGTTGTGTTGGACCAAAACTCTCTGTGGTTTGGTGGTGATCTGTAGGAATGTCAGCTATGTCTAATCAGCCAACCATGGCCTTAGTTACAGAACACTGTGGAAGTCCCAAGTGCTGCAATCATAACATACTTTCTAGTTCCCAAATTCGGCAAAACAACAGAGTAGACTTCACACAACACCTCGTGCTCCACAACTTATTTTCAGTCGAGTCGGTTTTTCTACTCTCTCCACAGACTTTTCTTCCACCATGTGTCTATGGTCGGTGTGGATATTAATCCTGGTGCTTGAAACCTGCCCAAGGCTCAGAGCTGTCTTCTGAAATGCATATCTGTGGAGGTGTCATCATAGCTCTATGTCTGGGGTGCCTGCATTTGCCCCCCAGCATCAGTTCCTTATTCATGCAGCTATGATGACATGCATTATTCTTTTCTTTCTCATCTGGGCCTCAAAGCTGGACAGTTTTTAGTTCCCTCTTTCAAAACACAGAAGTTGCCTGTTATTTTGTGCCAGTGTCTGCAAAACCCAAACTGCTGTGACCACCTTTTTCTCTCCTCTCATACATCCCTTTCTAGCTTGTGTACAGCTAGTCAGCCATGTGATGGTCATGCACATAATTTGCATGTCTTGCCAAATTTATTACGGTCCTGTGACACCTACTTTACAGTGTATTTCTCTTTAAGACTAACTACATTTGCACTTCTCAGCCTCAAGCTTAAGGAAATGTTATGAAAAAATACTACAGAGACAGAGAATCAAAGACGCATGGTTCTCTTACGAAGCCTAAATGTTGACAAGCCACCATAGCCCATGCTTGCCTTAAATGCATCCAGGTTTAAAAGTTCTTACCTCATGTCTGTGGTCGGTTCCTTGTGTTATAGCTACGTCGATGCTACGTCTGTGCTCGTAGCACGTCATTGATCCGTCTGTGGAGCAGAGCCCTTTAATTACAGTCATTAAGTGGAGCAGATCCGCCGGTGAGGTTAAAGAACCTTATTACCAAGACCTTGTCTACTCCCTCCCCACATGGCAAACAACCTGATGAAGCTTTCTTAAGCTTGAGCTGGAGTAACACTGTATACAGTAACACTGGGCTAAATTAGCTCCACAAACCACTAGCTTTGATTAACCCCCCTGCCCAGTTTTAGGCTGGGGGGGGGGGGGGGGGGGGGGGCTTCGACCCCCCCCCAAGTTTTAGGCTGCCTTCTACAAAGATTGGAAGAAAACAGATAAGCTCTTGACCAGGTGAGTGTACTTAGCTATCTACTGCTGCAGAGCCCAGTCATGACCTATTTATAACCATCCCCACTGTTTGCTCACTTCATTTCTTCTTCTACTGAGTTTGTGTTTCTGTTTTAACAAGGCTCTGTTCTGTTTTACACACTGTCCCTGTTTTGGCTTTCAGTGAGGACCACACATTCTTCTGCGTCTGCTGTTTAATTACTCTTCTCGTTGGGTAGTGGAAGAAAATGAACTCATGTCTTGGGTCTCACAGGATTCCAAAGTGTTTTGTCACCTTCCAACTCAATGAGAAAACCTCATCACTCTTAAATAGCATGTTAAAATAATACATCTGTTTAACACAGGATTTGATGGAACATTCAAATTACCAAAACAGCACGATTGTTGAAGATGGTGTCATGCAGAAAGTGTGCCTTTTTGTGTCTTAGAAATTTGAAAAAAGATTATTAAGGTGACTAGCTGTTTCATTTACATCCGGTGAATGCAGTTTTTCTTCTCTGGCGATGAAATCATGAAGAACAGCATTTTGTTTTGGCATCACAAGATATGACTGTGCTGCTGGTGTCTTTGGTTACTGTTTATGTTACTCTTTAAAGGACCTGAGGCGCAAACACTATAGTATGGAACCAAATTCTTAACATTCTGTCACAGTGTCTAGTATCTCCCTCTAAGCAGCTGTGAAAAGGTTTTGGAAAGTCTCAGATACCACCTCTCACTCATCTCGTGTTATGTACCTTGTGTAGGTCATGTTTGTGTCTCCAACCTCACCAATGGCTCTGTAATTTGAAGTATTATTAGCAATAGCACGCCACTCTCTTTAGGTTTGTGCCATTGAGCGCTACGGTGGCTGGGTTGCTGCCTGCGTGTGAGTGAAAGCCACTCACTCAGTATGTGAGCAGTTAAAGCTCCCTCAGCACAGCACGGGTGAGGCCTTCCTTCTGTATGCATCACCCCAGCCAACATGATCGATTCACCATTAGTGCTGTCTTTTCCGAGTGTGAGTCCACAGTTTCTACTCTACTAAACCCCCCCCCCCTCTCCTATTTGAAGTCATGTGATTTCAGCCACATAAAGTACATACATTTGTGCATGCATGTTGAGTCCACACATTGTCTTTTACCCTGGGGGGAGCCGGGCAGTTCAAGCCTGATCCCATGGATTTCTAATAACACAGTCTGTTTACTGATCAATAATTCAATTCTGTCTGTGAGCCAGCATGGCTGTGTCCAATCTTACCACCAACTTCCATGGCTTTTTCTTAACAAGGTAGGGTTTGATTCTTTGAGCTAGACAGAGCTTAGGTTCATGTGCTCCAACTGCCATGAGCTGGATTTAGTTAGTTCTCAGGCTGTAGCTGTTCACGGTTTGTGGTCATGAATCCACTTCCCCTGTACATGCTGGTGCGCATATGGTAACCCCCTTGTCACTGTTCACTGCAGCATTCATTATTGTAGTAGTGTACTTCGTTTGTGTCCACGGCAGTGTGTTCCAGGGAATGTGTCTACTTAGTTGTGTGTTTGTGTTTGCATGGATAAGAATCTGTCTGAGAGAGAGAGAGAGAGAGAGAGAGAAGGACAGGACTCATGGTTGATCCATCTCTCCCTTCAGGCAGCCTGATGAATCAAAGCCATGGATCTCATTAAACGGTGCTGGCCTTGTGGAGAGGTCAGTGGCATAGTTGTGTGATTAGTAGGCTCAGCAGGCTGCTTAGGTGTTGTGTTTTGTGGTGGAAACTGGAGTCTCACTCAAATAGGGTCAAGAAGAAAACATGCAAGGCAAAAGCTTGACTTCAGTCAATATTCTAGTTCTATATTTATTATTGACCTTTTAGATTTAAAAAAAATTGGGGTTTTCCTTATGTGTGATTCAGATTTCTCTGGGTACTTCAGCATCCTCGCCCAGTCCAGACACATAGGTTAGGAGCGCCCCCTTTAGGACTACATCACCCCACCTTACTGCTCCTTGTCATTTGTTGTATTTTTTTTCCCAAATATGCAGCCATTATTCCGAGAATGTTAGGTTCCACGTTTGCAACTTCCCCTCACGCAGTGCTCACACATCAGGGCTAGTTCCTTTTTATTCCTTTGATATGCATAAAATCACAGCCTTAGGTTTTGCGGGTGTAAATTGTTTTTAGGAATGAATTAAAAAAAATTTGTAGCACTTCAAAATACAAAGAATACATTTTAAAAAGTTTTCCATGGAACCAAAATATACAATTCAATTTTGCCTCAACATCATTGCTCAACTCATAATTTTGACTGACATTGTAATGTTATAATTCCATTTTTATTTAATTTATTGGAATTAACAGTGTCTGAAAACATTACAAATTCCGTGTGTTCTAGTGCTGCTGCTTGAGAAAATATACTTGTTCATTAATATTTACTTCACAAGGAGAAGCAAATATTTACTCCTTGTGAGCTTCACTTTGGCATGATCATGTGACCCATACACAGTACATACTACACTTTAATAGTACCTATATTGATTTATATGTTTATATGCATATATGTATGTATATGTACATATGTGTGTATATACTGTATATATTTGCATAGATGTTTTACAAAAAGTTGTAATTGTAACATTTCTGGGCTACACCTTAATTCCTATTCTATATTTAAACAGTGTTACTGTTGTAATATTTTTGATTTAGTATTAATAATGAGTCTAATTTTATCCCTGGCCCTGTTCTTTGATATCATCTTCCCGTTGATATCCTATGCACTAATGTGCTGTTTTCTTCCACTTTAATTTTTTTATCACAGTTGAAGTGTTTATCAGTTGCTAGCACCGGGTTCCACTGCAGTGACAGCTGCTTTCAGCGGATATCAACCTGCACCAATAACCCAAGAAGCAACTTTCTGGGTCGTTAGTAACTCGTTCCAGGGGCCAGACTCCTATCAAAGCCAGTGAACATGAACCATCCACGACTTTGAGTCAAGGGCGAAGTGTGTGTACGTGACTGTGAGTGTGTGAGATAGGGCATTTCTAGGCACTGCCTTACTTTGGACAGTTTCCTCTGAATGGACTTTTTCTTTTACTTTCCTTCTTAACATCCCCTTGTGTTCCTCTCTGTGTAATGTCCTTTAGATAAAACACTGCCAGAACTTGGTTTTTGTTTCCCACTTGGCATCTCTTACTGATAACCATGGTATCTAAAAGTAAGCCTTGGCAGCACTTCCTGTCTGAATGGCCAGAAATTACTGTAGATATACAGTAATGGCTCATATCTGCTGACTGTTAATTCCAGCTTTCTTTTCTGTGTCAGTAAATATCAGTAGGACAAAGTCCAATTTTTGTGTGGTGCCAGACTTGGAAGTCCACAAATATTTAATTCCACAGATCAACCTTTCCAATAAAAGAATTTAAATAGTTTTAATGTATTGTTTATTTTGACTTAGTGCTGACAGTGTTACATTAAAGTCCCAACGTAGAAAAAACAGAGGATTAAAACCATGAGTCCACACACTCCTTAATGTCTTCCCACTGCCTTTCCTTTCTTTCAGTCTCTATCCCTCTGAGGTTCAGTCAAATAATAAAGCCTGACATTTATTGGAGAAAATAAATCAGAGTGCTCAGTTTGAGGATTGTCTAATATTCAAAACCACTCTCACGGTTTGCTTACATATCACTGCACGTCTTGATTCCCACACAACAGCGCGGTGCCAAATGCTTAGTGCTCAGTCAAACACTGAGCACAAGTTTTTTATAAAGAGAAGCACAGAATGACTTATAGTTTGTCTTGCTAAATAATAGTTACCTCAGAATAACAATTGTAGTTTTTCTTCCTCAGCAGCCTTGTCACACATAAAAACAATTATAATGGAGTGAGTTTGACTTTTACACTTTTTCTTTTTGAAGTCTAAATAATTCCCTTTTCAAAATAATTGACCTCAAGTAGCCTTAAAATTAATGTTTACCAGTCCATCTTTAGTGTGTTAAGTTAAAGAGTCGACACACTGTGTTTATATTCAGGCAGCCTAAGGGGCTCACTAACATTTTGCTGCTGTCGGACCCAGTCCAGACACGCTTTTCTCTCAGGTATGTCAAACATCTGCAGAATACTCGCTCTAACCTGTGCCTTGCCGGCACACAGTATACCAAAGCTCTATGTACTTCATTCCTTCGCCTGTGTGTACACTCACAGTCTCTCAGTCATCTCTGTGTTTATCTTGCTGCCACCATCAGCAGTGCCTTTATATAAACACTTTGAGCGTACTACAGGTCTGATAAAACCAGTCTCCGTGCTGTCTCCTCTTCACCTTCTGAGGTGATGATCTCACTATGTTTGCTGTGAAGTTGTGATCCACTTCACAAACACACCTTTCTGTTTAGGTAAAGTGACAAGGTGCTGTTTGTCATTACGTGCTTTCATTAGAGCATCTCACCTTCAAAGAGAAAGGAGCAGCGTTTTGTTTCACCTTTCCTTCTCCATAGCATTTAATTGAAATGAGGCTGGAAGCTTCACTTTTTCTGCATGTTTAGAAATACTTTGTTTTTCTTGAAGGTGACTTAAATACAGGACTTGATCATATTCCATGTTTTACCTCCGTGCTGTTTTCCAGATTGTCCAGTTGGCCTTTCTAAAATTAGTGTATGGTACAATGTAACAAATTACTGTGATACGTTTGTGCGCATGCAGCGTATCCCGGTGTCACTGGTGTGATGGCTTTTTAATGTGAGCCACAGACACAAATGTAGATGCTTATTGTTGCAATGGTCAATACACGCTCGGTTGGCCAACAGAGCACAAACAATGTGAATATATGTGACTAATTGTTTTGATCAAATACCATTTACAGACTGCATGTTTTCAGACCAATTTCTTGAAATTCACACATGGATAATTAATTTGACATTGAAGTAGCCATTATTTTGCTG